TAATCAATAAGGAGAGGCACTCATTAAAAAGGCATTATGCCCTATCTTAGAATATGATTGTTATCTTTGGGACTTGCATAAACTTAGGTGGGTGAAGAAAACATATTCAAAAATATCCACTGAGGGACACTTAATTAAGTACATTTGCGATGGCTAATTACTTAAGATGTAAATATTTCACCACCGATATATAGAGAATAAAGAGAGTCAAAATAATCTTTGAAATCTGAAGAATAGAATCATTTAGAATAAATCAAATATTTGTAATGGTAGGGAAAATAATCTTACAATGGCCATAAGGTAAGATAAAGTGGATAGCTGCTTGGAAGTGGGAAACCTTAAAGGATGTAGGAGGATGGTACTTGAATAATGGAGAAAAACATGGTTAATGGATTGACATAATAAAGAATTATTAAACGTACATCTTATTAGATAAATTATGAGTAAAGCTTAGATTTATGAAAGTGGGAGAATATATGAATAAAAGGAGGTAAGGCAAATGGAAGTATTTATATGAAGGCAAAGAAATGTCATCATAAATAGTCATTACGAAGTGGTGGTGGATATTATGAAGATGGTTCTGATAGTGTGAAAATTGGAAAATGGATAGAGTTAATTGATAATTATTAGCAATTCTCGTAAGTATCATATAATGGTGAATATAACAATGGTAAAAAAGTAGGACTGTGGGATATTTTCCATCAAGTTTAAAAAAGGATGTAAATTGTAGATTATATAAGTTCAGTGGCGGTGGATCATATGATAAAAGAGGTATTAAAGTTGGGAAGTGGATTGAATTGAGTGATGGTTCTTATAAGTATTCGTAGGTATCATATATTGGTGAATACTATAATGGGAAAAAAGTTGGTAGATGGAATATTTGTTAGTGGGACCCTTATACAAATACAAATTAATAGATGTAAGTTATAATTAGTTTAAATGAATTAGTGGAGGAGGATCCTATGATTAAGAAGGCGATAGTATTAAGATTGGAAGGTGGATAGAGTTGAGTGATGGATTTTGTAGAGATTCATAGGTCACATATATTGGAGTTCATAAAAATGGTAAAAAAGTGGGAAGATGGGATCTTTGGTATGCTGAGAGGGAGAGACCTTTAATAAAAAATGAACTAATGTAAATGATGTCACATTCTCATCCTTAGTGGAGGTCGATCCTATAATGAAATAGGTGATGAAATTAAATTTGGGATGTGGACTGAATAAAGCGATGGATATTTGGATAGATCATAGGTAACATATAATGGAGAATATAAAAATGGTCAAAAAGTAGGTTAATGGGATATTTTTGTTAAAAATAGGAGAACAGGAAGTGATGAAAAAATGTAAAAGACTATCAATATTCATTTTAAAGTGGTGGCGGTTAATATGATTAAAAAGGAAGTGGGATTAAGACAGGAAAGTGGGTTGAGTTAAGTGATGATTATCATGACTGTTCATAAGTCACTTAAGTTGGTATATATGAGAATGGTAAAAAAATTGGTAGATGGGATATCTTATACAAAAATAGGGATACAAATATAAATGAACTTATGTAAGAATATCGATCAATTCATTTAGAGGAGGAGGATCATACAATAAGCTGAATGATGGCTATAAAATAGGTACTTGGATTGAGTTAAATGATTGGTTTTCTGATAGTTCTTAGGTTACTAATAATGGTGAATACAAGGATGGTTTAAAGTTTGGCAGGTGGGACATTTGGTATAAAAATAGGGATACAAAATTATATTAATTGATGTAAGACACTATAAAGCATTTATGTTGTAGTGGAGGTGGATTTTATTAAGATGACGTCAATTAAATTAAGCTTGGGATATGGATTGAGTTAAATGATGGATTTTGGGATTACTCATAAGTCACATAACATGGAAAATATCAAAACGGTAAAAAAGTTGGTAGGTGGGTATTTAAATTTGAGGGGTCGTAAATGTATTATTTTAGTATATTTTAGCGGCGGTGGTCTTTATAATGAAGAAGGTGAGGGTCTCCATTAGCTAC